TTTTGAGAGCTTATTTTTAAAGAACCTATAAGAGAGCTTAGTTTAAATATTCTGTAAATGTTATTTTATTTTTTAAAGTATTTATATATTATTTTAATGTTAATTAAATTTAATTTTAATATTTTATATATTTATTTTTAGTATTGATTTTATTTACAAACTTTTTTTAAGTTTATGCAATTGCAAACAACTATCCAGTCCCTGCCCTTAAGATGAACTCTAAGTACAATAGAATTGAAGAAACTAAGCTTAGAGAGTCAAGGGTGACTTCCTGGAAGCGTTCATGTCAAAAACAAGGGAACAGCAAATGCGAAGTTCTGGAAGCCAGAGAATTGATACATAAACAAAGAACAAAAACCTGGCAGCAGTTTAGTACTTCCAGGTACTGAAAAAAGAGGAGAAATTAATGAGGGTTTGCCTGTGATATCCACCCTATGTACCTAATATGTAACATGCAAGCAGAACAACATTGCAAAATCACCAAGAACACTCAGTGCAGAGCTTGTAGAAGGGCCTCAACATAAATTAGTTTACACCTCTCACCAAATGCAACAAAGATAGGTTAAAATAAAACTAACTGCATTTTTCAGTGGTGAGGAAGAAGGGAGGTGGCATTTAGTGGTGTGGTAGTGAGTAGGAAACATGACATAGCATAATAATAATAATAATAATAGTTCATGCAGCTTACTATGTGCCTGGCACTGTTCTAAGGACTTTAAAAGAACCATTTAAAATTCATGAAAAGCCCTATGAGGTATTGTTATCATTCTCAGTTTCCAGATGAAGAAACAGGTGAGAAATTTTAAATAACTTGCCTACGGTTGCATAACTGAGCCAGAATTTGAAAGTTTAAATTTAAATAGCCCATTTTTTGCATCTGAGCTCTATCATTCACCCACTGTGTGGTCCTGGGTAAGTAACTAACTTCACTAACATCTCTCACATTAAAAATGGGGACATAATGAGGCAATTGTGAATATTGAATTTTTAAAAATCATAAAGTTCATGAAATATTATATATCCCCAATAAAATGTTAGTTATCCTTCCTCTTCCTACAGCCCTCATGGCTCTTATCCATTTATTCAATGGTCATGTACTGACTGCCTATGAAAATATAATACTTAGCCAAAGACTTGGAAAAACACCTCAGACTGTTAACAGTCATTATCACTGAGATGAAGAATGCTAGTAGGCTGGTGTGAGATTTAACTCCTGTATACCAGTGCCAAGCCCATTAATTGGGCCTTATCCCTTTGGGAAAAAGCAGGAAGTATTAGGGAAAGTTCCCAAAACCACCACCCAGTAAGAATGAGCTCTATCATCTCCTGGACCTAAAATTATCACCAAATAGAATAGATGAGGCGGTTTGCAGGTACCAAGCATCCAGTTTACCCTAGTTCCTTTAGGTGACCTAGCCAAGTCATACAACAGGTACCAAAGACATGCTACAGGTCTGAGGTACCTTAAAAATTCTCCATTCCTCAGGCTCAATAAACTGGCTTTTATTATAATCTAAAAGTCATCTTTGTACTTTACTTTTGTTCTTTTTCTCAAACCCTTACTGTACTTGCTCTAGATATTCCACCCAGCTGGGGTCATTCTGACTTTGTCCTATTTACTGTTTATTTCCATTTCCTCTAGTATTTTTCATATCAACTTCAATAATATGTGGTAAGGCTCTATAAAATTGATAAACAGGAGCACCTCAAAAATTTTAATAGTTTATAACCTGCTGTCATCTTGATGATCACAGTAATTTCAGTACACAACTTTAAATGCTACCTTTCATCCACCAGTCATTTCTCCACTATTTACAAAGCTACCAAACAGAATGTAATGTATATAAGAATATATATTTCACCACCTACCTTTATTACATGTATTTTAACATGATACTCTGTTTTTAATTCTGCACGTTATTTTTAAATTTTCTATTTCTTTTTTGTTGTTAAAGAAGAAAGTCCAAGAGAGAATTTTGATACATACCCATTTGAAAACCATAGATTTATATAAAAAGCTTGACATAAATGAAGAAAGATGGGCAAAAGGAGTATGTAATTTAGGAGAGAGAAGGTAGTTCCCAAATTTTACACTCTTTGGAGGACTTCATATCAAACATCAAACAATCTCTCATTGGTTTATGGTTATTATGTATAAAGAATTCTGGTAAGCCTTTAACTTAAATATTCTCACCTAATCCTATATTATAATGTAAAAACTGTTATAACTTCAATTTTATAGATAGAAAAAAAAGGCAAAGATTAAGAAATGTTCCCAAGTCCACACAGCCAGTCAGTATTGGAATCATTGTAAATGCAGGTTTCTCTGACTCTAGGTACTGAACTTTCAAATATTCTGTAAAATCACCATATTTGACAACATCGCAAATGACAAAATAGTAATAATAATTTTGAGTGAGAAAATCTTTGTTTAAGTCTAAGATTTCACACTTATTAGCTGAATATTCATCGAGTCCAAGCAGAGTCTCAGGATACTTCCATCCTGTGGTCACACAAACACCTGGCTCTCAAGTTCACTCTAGTATTTGTTTCCATTCCACCCAGACAAATGAACATAGAATCATGGAAAGAAATTTTTAACTGTGTGCATAACTCACTGACTAGAACTCAGTCACATGACCATTCCTAATTTCATTGGAGTCTTAAAAATGTAGTGGAGCTATGTTTCCAGGAAGAAAAATTAGCTGGTTTGACATCAGCTAGTAGTCTCCTCCATAAAGTGTATATGTAAAGCCCCATTATTTGATTAATTAGTAGTAATTGCTACTGCTACTTTAAGCCTCTGATGCCCTTGAAAATTAATAAAATAAAAATATACTTCAAAGGAAAAAAAAATAAAGTAATATGTGTGATTCAGAATATTAACATTTGTGGAGCTAACCAACGTTGAAACAAAGAGGCGTTTCAACCTTTCACTTGGTGATGACCTCCCTAGGAGAACATGCCTCTTGAAAATAATTTTCTTCATCCCTCTCCAGAAGAGAAGAGGAAACACAAGAAGAAGTACCTGGTGCAGAACCCCAATCCCTACTTCATGGATGTGAAATATCCAGGATGCTATAAAATCACCACCATCTTTAGCCATACACAAACAGTAGTTTTGTGTGTTGGCTGCTCTACTGTCCTCTGCTAGCCCACAAGAGGGAAAACAAGGCTTACAGAAGGATGCTCCTTCCAAGGGAAGCAGCACTAAAAGCACTTTGAATCAAGATGAACGGGAAACCATCCCAATAAACACATTTTGGATTAAAAAATAAAACAGGCATTTCAATATACAAAAATGAAAAATGAACTACCTTGAGTAGACAGCAACAAGGCATCTCTCCAAAGAAAAATGTCTTTATTTGACTAAGCTAAGGTTAAATAACCTTCACTAGAGAGAATCCCAAAGCAGGAGAGTGTGCTACATAAAAATGTTTGTTTGTTCTTTTCTTACACAATATCACTTTGCATTCCAAATAGTGAGGGGAAGGGAGTAAAGAGAGAATTTAATTCAGCATGTAATTATTGTTGAGCTGAAGACCATTTTTTTTCAATAAATGAGTAAACTATGAATAACTTTTCACATACTAATTGAAAAACTTCAAGTGAATCAATATTAAAAAATACCCAATTGCTATGTATACCCATATGCCTACTGCAGACACAAATTGGATGAGTATTTCCTGACTTCCTGAGAAATTATCTATCTATATCAAAATATGTATCTATAGATTCATATCCATAAAATATGTGTGCATATCTACAAATTCTCAAAATATTCTGAAAATATTTATGAAACTCAATATCAACAAAAAAAGAATCACATTTAATAGATGAAAGACAAATATGGGCTGAATTGAGGTACTCTCAAAAGCCAGAATTAGATTTTACTCTAAAATCTAAACTAATAAAATGTGTATCGAAAATACAGGATTAGCCATAAATGAGAGTAAAACAAGATATTGTGAATAAGTGAGTAATGGACTAGTTTGGTAAAGTTCAGCACTTTAATTCCTATGATATAAGAATTCACTGCTTGCTATGCAGAAAACTGGTTTATGTTCTTCACGTGAGAAAAATTAAAATGGTAGAAAAGTGACCAATCATGAGAGTCGAGGTGGGGGGTGGGAAGAGTGTGTTGATTCTGCTCATTTAGCATGGTTCAAGGTTCAAAGTGGATGGAGTTCTGGCCAATCCAACATTAGCAATCCGATTGCACAGGTTAGGCTTTACCTGAAAGATATTTAAATCAGCTAATTGATTCCTTGTTCTCCACTTAAACTTCTTAAGAAGGTTTCTTCCAATGTATTTTCCCTACAGAAAGAGAATATGCTAGAGAAGCTGAATTAAACATTCTGATTCACTCGACAGATTAATTTCTCTGTGTAAATGAACAATGACATTTTCATTCATACATATCAGTGGTTTATACCCATCAGTTGCTGTGAGTATGAGTCTGTGCACAGAGACAGCTTTCCTCTTAAATTGCAAACAAACTGATCCTGGGAGACTGTTATCCATTCCTTGAACTGTGATGAATCCACCAAAGCAAATGCTACTGGGTTTCTGAGCAGCCAGTCCCTCTTCTCCATGTGACATAACCTTGTTCTGGTGTACTTGTTTCTTGGAAAAGTTTTAATTGCTAATTTTTGTTTTGCTAATTGTCTAATTTACTTTAACCTCGACATTTAATTCTAGAATATTGTGAGATTGTTTAATTTATGGGTCATTAAGTTCTAGATGTTTTTTCCCTTTTTTTCTTGCTTCTTGTTTAAGGACATGAACATATAAAAGAAGATTAAGTAGACATGAATGATTACTAAGTGAAATCTGTATATTTTTTATCTTACTGAAAGATTAGAGAAGTTGACTAATACTATTATATATGTTCTTTAAGGGCTATTATTAATTTTCAATTATAGTACTTTTATATTTGCTCCCAATGTTATTTGCAATTTTTTGATCGTCAGAATTGTTAATTAGCATATGTTTTATAGCATCATGGATCCTGATTCCAGAAGTATCAGGAGCTCTTTCAAGACATTAGATGATCCATCACCACTGCCTTCATCCAAACAGACTATTTAAGGTAAATCACCTTTTCCATTTATTAGCTGTGAAACTTCTGATAATCATTTTAAGTTTTCTGTCTTCAGTATGAGTAAGCAAGGCATTTGTAGGACTAAATATAGTACATAAGGTAAAACTATGCCAAAAATTTTTTGAAAGTGATTTTTGTATACAAATGATAAATTTATTGCTAATGAGAGACATCAGATTTTTATAACCTTCCTAAACTAAATAACTGTCATGAGGTGATTATAATTATATGCATAAACCATAATTATTCATTGTATGATGTTGAGTCAACAGCAAATTTTCACGTGTTTATGAAACATATTAATATTATGTGTATATTATCAATCAAATCAGTCTTAAATTTTAACTACATCTTCAATTTTTCCAAGATTAAATAAAAACTGTTTACAGGATAAATGTGACATGAAAATTTTGCTTTTTATATTCTCATGCTAAAACTTAAAATAATGTTAGTTCTTTAACACATTTCCAGAATGGCATTAACCTGATATTTTTCAAGATTAAATTTTATTAAAGAAACTTACACATGTCCTAGTTTAGGGTAAGCTTAAATGCTAAAATAAATCTCCCTAAGTTTAATGTTCTAAAAATAATTTAAGTTACTATCCTAGAGAACTACTAATAATTTTATGGTATTCATAAAAAAGAAAATACACTCTAAGTAAGTACAAAAAATGCCTGGAATTATAGAACTAGTGCAAAATTCTTAACTTCAACTAATTATATTTTACTCTTGAAACTCAATAATACTCCATACAGGCTGAAGTCATTGATTTTCTGAGTTTGCTTGCATAATATTTAGTTCTAAACTTAAATGTTAGACTTCATAAAATACAAGAAAATGGGCATTATAGATGAAACATATTTTTAAAAGATAGTGCTTATAAATTCATAAAATCTCAAGGATAGGAGAAACATTATCACATTTTATATAGCATTTTTCAAAAGTTGAGCATAAAAGCTACAACACAAAAGTCCCAAAAAAAAAAATCATACAGGTCATAGTAGCAAATAACAAATGAATAAATCTAGAAATTTATAGCAAATAGTTAAGGAAAAAAATCACTTTAAAGTCTGAAAATATATTCCCAGGTAAACATTTTGTCAAAAATTGTTTTGCAAAGCTACAAACCTCATATTTACACAATTACAAACTGTGAAAATCTTTTGTCAAAACTTATGACAAAAGCTACTAGAGCTGTAATTAAAGATAAAGCCTTAAATGTCAACTTTATTGAAAAAGAACATTTTAACAAAAAAGAGGCATTTGAACTCAGATAATTAAAACATGATGAATCCTAAGAAAAGTATGAGAAAGGAAATATAGTAATAAAGGAAAAAGTAGGAATAATTGAAAAATAAAAATTAAAAATAGCAAAACATTTACATTTTCTGAATAAAAAGCAAACTGTGCATTCCTATATTTATCTGTTTTGTACAAGTATTTCTTCTGCCTGGGACTTATTCCTTTATCTTACCACTGGAAACTTTGTACTCCTTTTCTATGAATCAACTGAATTACCATCTTCATTCTGAGAACTCCCTGATTCTTCGCTCATATACCTTGCATGTTCCTCATTAGAGGTATTGAAACATTGAATCTTTTGAATAAATGATTTTCTATATGATATCACCACACATTTCAAAGGAAAAATGTAGGATGTAATATATTAAGCAAGCAGTTGATTTTGTTGAAAAACTTACACATGTGTTAGTTTGAATTGGAATTTTTAAAATTGTATTTAGTGACTGGCTATTACTGATATATAGAAATACTATACCAAATTATTTGCTTTAATATTAACTGGTTTCTGAATTTTATTGGATTTTCTAGTTATACAATTATGTTCAAAAAGACATCTCATTCTGCATATTCTAATTTCTTCATCTTTATATAAAAACATCTTGATTATTAAGACAAATCAAAGGAAAAGATTTGGATATAATCAATAATTAAGAGCATGCACACTGGTGTAAGTTTGCCCAGATGTGAAACCTGGGTCTGCAACCTATCTACCATGTGACCTTGGGAAAGTTACTTATCTCCTTTTTGCCTCAGTTTCTTCCCAGTAACTATCTTTTAAGGTGGGTTTGAGGTTTAAATGAATTAAAACTTGTTATATGCTTAGAATAGTGTCTGGTATTGTTTAACCTTTAAGGCAAATGTCTAAAAGACATAGGATAAAAAACATTTCAAGTATTTTTTTAGAATTTTATGTGTTTATTTAAACTATACTCAATAAATACTGTTTAATTAACATTTCCACCAATTTTATTTGTGCAAACTTTACTTTCTCTGTCACATTCTAGCTGCAGGACATTAGGCAGCTTTACTTAACATGTGTACACTTCAGTATCTTTATCTGTAAAATGTGGATTTTAATAGTACCATCCATATAGATTTGTGTATAAAAAATAGGATAATGGTAAAATAAGAAAGATTTTAGAACATTTGAAGCTTTCACCAAATGCTAAGTAATGTTATTGACATAAGTGAGGCATTGAATATATTATAAAGGTATTTCATATTGAAAACACAGATTAACCATTAATTTGTGTTGGGGCAACTGACCATTCATTACAGCTAAATAAAAAAGTTGCTTTTATATATTACACATTACACAAAAACAATTTTATATATAAAATAGAAATCATTACAGTACTAGAAAAAATATAGGTGGGCATTAGTATAATTTCATAAAGAAAATTTTCAAAGAAAATTTGAAAATTAGTATAATTTTTCAAAGAAAAAAAGTCTATTTCATCCTAGTGATATAATCAAAACTTATATAACATCAGAGTAGAAATTATGTTATTAGAGGAAACTTGCTGAATTTTCTTGAATACAGACTCTGCAGAAAATTATGGGAAAGAAGCAACATATTCTGTGCTCTCAAGGGCTATGAAATCTGGTCAGATATTCTTGAATAAAATAACTTGTGAAACGTATGAAGCAGAACATAAGATGCATGGTAAATCACACATGATCTGTAATTCAAGTCAAATTATAGCCAACCTTGAGGACAATTATATAAAATGCAACTGTGCTATTTTTCAGAATGTTATCAATCCTTGTCACATTTTTATAGGCTCCAGCTCAGATTTTGTTTTTAATATGGAAAGTTAAAATTCTAGTGTCTTTCCAGAAAAGAAGAAATCATTCATTCTCAATGAATTATATCATATTTCATGGAAAATTTAGCCAAATTTAATCTATATTGCTTCTTAATTTTTATTTTTAAGAAACACAGACATTAAAATGCTCTCTCTGGGTTTTCTTTGTGAGTATCTGGAAAATACAAAGTATCATCATAGCCCTATGTGTCACTGTTTTTCTTTTCAATTCTATAAGCAGACACTGTATTTAATTTGGGGAGTATGCTTTGCTTTAGTAAATTGGATGAAAAATAGATTTTCTCAAAAATTAAGCCTGATTTATCCCTCATTAACTTCTCAAATTATTGAAAATCTCAATAGTGTGATCCGGGAATATTTTCCTAAGGAATAGCCAAATTTTATAAACATTACACTATCTATTCATTCTGACAAAACTAATATTTCTATTTAGGCAACACACTTTGGATTTTATCTATTTATTTTCAGTCTAATTAATTTGAGAATCTAGAGTTTCACCCGGAGACACAAAGGAGGCTCCACGGTGCTCATTTGAGATATTGCAATATTCTGATGCTTCCAAAAATCAGTTCAATTGGCTCTATAATCATTCCTTTTGGTCTTGCTGTTGAAGGTGTAGTTTAGTGGTTTCTCTGATTGCCATACAGAGCTTTATGTTCCTAGAGGACAGGAAGATATAGAACTTACTTCTTTTCAAGCATAGTCACCGTGTTCTAGCCACACTTGCCTTCCTCTTGCTCTGAATCATCAACCTCATGCTGGCCATGATATCTTTGCACCTGCTGGGTTTTGGTTTTGTTTTGCTTTTTGTCTGAAAAATTTTACCCAGAATCTTCCTGTATCTGAGTCTTCTGTATTGTTCATGTGTTAGAATATTTATATTACTTACTCTAGTTAGCTTTCCCAGATTATTCCATCTAAAACAGCAGAAACCACACCCCTTCCAACACACACACACACACACACACACACAAACACCTGGCCAGTCACTACCACAGAACCTCATTTCCTTTTCTTTATTATTCTGTGTCATGATTGTGTTCGGTTATTTATTTGTCTTATATGTCTCCCCTACTATAATATAAGATCCATGAGAGCAGGGACAGAGGTTCTTTCTTGTATCTCCAGCTTGGAGGACAGGGTCTAATCTACTGAGTGGCCCTCGAGGGTAAGATAATAGAAAGAAATAAGAGAGGAAAGAAGGAAGGAAGAGCAAAGGAGCGAGAATGGAAGATAAGACAGAAGACAAATAGCAGTCCAAGTTATAGGCATGTTAAAGGAGCCACTTGGCCTCTCAAATTCCATTATTACTCTATCAACTCTCATAGTATAAACACCCACTTGAGATTTAAATTCAAGGGTGCTTCACTTGGGAAAGACTACTGTGCTGTGCAAAGTCAAGATCAACATGTCAGTGCTGCTATTTTCTTTTATCTAGCGTTCACATCATGCTTATAATTTTATGTTTTAGTTTCCCTCAGTCTATTTAAAAACTACTTGAGATTATACCAATGTTTTCTCAGTCCTCTTTCTTATCAATTTCTTTCTCTTTTTTAAACTCTATTTCCTTTCCCTATGATGGATGACCCTGAATGACATAAGATTCAATGCAGCAAACTCTAGTAAATATTTTACTACAATTTGGAATAAAACAATTAATTTCCTAAAAAAATTTTAATATATTTACTCATATTTTGGAATTTTGGAACCAGAGTTTCTTTATTTAAACTTTACACACATTTTTAATAATTTAAGATAGAAACCTTTCACAGTATTTTCACCATGCTTCAGTCTAGTTTTGACCAGGTTGTCCTGTTCCTCATGAGTCCTTTGAATTGGTTATAATTGCATAGA